AAGATAAAGTACAGAATAATAGGGGTTATACATCGGGGCTTACCTGGACAAGATATAACCAAGGATTAGCATTCCATCGGGGCGACACGATCACGAAAGCTCCATCTTTTTCTGCTTTTCTGGTCGACTCCATGATCCATCATTGTCCGTATTATGATATACATAGACGCAACGCAGAAAATGTAATTAACCAACGACAACCGCAACTCTAAGAATACGATTACGCCTCTCACGCTAACGAGCTAGCTTTAACGGCTAATGCACTAGGCTACGTATCCATATTCCTGAATAAGGCGTTATTTCCCAACAAAAGTTTCCGTTATACCATTCCGAGGTGTTTCGGCTTTTCATTGATTTAATATATATATTCGAACTAGGGCTCATTAGCTATCTTAGTAAACTAATTATTATGAAGCTAAAAAAATTACAATGAGCACCTAATAATATTAGGAATTTACTATGAAATTTTTAGAGCCAACACTATCACCAATTTATTACAAAAATTCCTATAAGTTTATATCTTAACAATATTAACCATCTCAATTTAATTAGATAACTCCTGAAAATACTATGTGAACAAGATATACTAGCAGATAACTATGTGAACAAGATATACTAGTAGATAGATCATGATTTAGGAACCTAACAAAATTAGTTTCATAATTTTTGGTTAGCTGCACAAATTTATATTGAATTTATAAGTTTGCCTTAGAAACTAAATTGGAAAATGCTTAGAAAATGAGAAGGGCTGGTGGCAACCAATTCGGCCCGGCAACCCAGCGGCCCATGATGGGGAGCCCGTGTGCTGGCACTTTAGCAAATGAGCCCTCAGACTTTTCCTGAACCACGACTAAGTCCTTATACTATTTCTTCCTTTCTCTAGCGAATTCACTTAACCCCCTAGATTTTTCCAAATTTTGTCGCGCGCACCCCCGGCCACCCCATGCACGGCGACGCAGCGAGCGGCGGCACTGGGCATCCACGCCGGCCACCAGGGGCCTGCGCGGACCCATTTGGCGGGTTGGTCGCCATCTACGGCTAAACACGCCTAGACCTAGATGGGTGGTAGTTAGGGGCTCGGAGGCACATTAGTGCGAGCTGCAGCGGCGAGCAACTATCCGCAGCGGCGGCACGCTCGTTCCGACGAGAGAAGAGGACGGAGGGAGAGGAAAAGTGGTGCGCGAGCACCAGTGACATACCACGAGTACAACCAACACATCCATGAAGTGGGAGAGACCCCATGCGGTGCTGGCCACGTACGACCGAGCTTGATGGCAGTGTTCTGCGATGGACACCGTCGCGTCACCATGCCATAGATGACCATCTTGGCCAAAATAGCGCGAGCACCGGATGGAGGGAGTCAAGGCGAGCTCAGGGTTACGAGCAATCGAACTACTACCACTCCTACATGCCTTACCTCCCAACCTTCCGATTCGGCGGCGCCCATGACCGGCTACAAGCAAAAGGCCAAATTGCCGCTAGGTAGGGCATGACCGAGCTTGAGGGGGAAGAGACGACTAGCCTACTTCCTAAGCTACCCGCTAGAGCGAGGAATTATATGGGTGGCGCTAGGAGGCTCGATGGTGGCTCAACATACCATGAGGTCATGGAGAGGGTACACGAAGAACCGAGCAAGTTAAGATGGGTGGCTTCGCCGATGGTGGCAGCAAAGACGAGCCTGTGTGTGGACGACGAGACCTCGAGGCTTGGCATGAAGCGCTCAGAATGGCATGGCTGCACCAGCGTGGCTCCCAGTGTTGGCTAGCAAGGGCAAGTGAGGAAGGGAGGTATCCCATCGCCGCTGTGACCGGGGTAATCGACCTAGATGCAGCGGGCAGCGGCACATGCTCAGAGACTTGACGCGGTAGGTAAAATGAAGGGCGAGGCGAGGGACATGACAGCAAGGCAGCGACAGTCGTAGCTCTGTCTCGACCATGTGCGCAGCTCGACGACTAGATGTTGGCGCACTCACACCGCGGTAGTGGGACAAGACCGCAGCCAACCGGGTCTGCCAACGCAAGGCCAGGGCATAGCGCGGCATCGGCCTAGTGCACGAGCTAGCCAGCGACCGCAGCTCGGTCATGACGTGAGCCTGGCGCCAACAGCGTTGTGCCCGCGGTGACCGTGAACTCAAACCGAGCGACTGCTATTGGTGACATGCACGCATTTTAAAGCGAAGCGAAAGCTACTAAGGATCGCAATTGAGGCCCAACTAATTCGCCTATCCTAAAGTCAACATTACCGGTGACCTAGCAAAGCCATCGCCATGGCTAGAGAAAATTGAGGCCCAACTAATTCCCCTATCCTAAAGTCAACATTACTAGTGACCTAGCAAAGCCATCGGCATGGCCAGAGAGCAGCCAGAGAGGGGGATAGAAGGATGTCAACATGAGCTCGTCGTGCTGAACGCTAGTTCACTAACAGAGCATCAACAACATGGTTACAACACATTCCAACGAAGTTTGGGGAATTTTTAAGAGAGCAACGTGACACCCAACGCAACTACGACCTACCCCATGCCCAAGAGCTTACTTAGATGCAACCAACAATACAAGAATATAAAACTAGTGTTTAAACATTTTAGTTAGAAGTTAAATGCCAAAATGGCATTGCCTACTACTCTTTCAGACTTATAAAAGACAATAGTTCAGTTTGAACTTAACAACCATGAACAATTTTGCCACAATTTTTAAAAGGCCTAATCTTGATTAACTTCAACCAACAAGTACTTCATGCAATAGTCCATACTTTATACTAAACCATAGGAACAAAATATTTAAGCACTATTTAATTACTTTGCTCAATATAACTCGCCAAAAATAGTACTTTAACATAAGTTCAGACCTTTGCCGACTTAATGAAAAGGTTGATTTTAATACCCAATTTGATTTTTGGAGCTCCCAAGAACATTAGTTAACACATTTATTTTCAAAAAATTAAAGTTGCATTTTCATCTACACCACTTGCTCATCATCTTTACATAAGCACTATACACAAGTTACATTTTATTTTTGTTTATAGAAATTGTTTTTCGTACCAAACAATTAAACTACTTATTTTATTCTTCTTATTAGAATTTTCATTAGCACATTTACGCACTAAGTAAATTAACATAGATATTTATTTGATTTCTCTCAACCATAAAAGTGAGTCGCACAGGGTTTGTTTATCATTTCATGTGTGTTTTAAATTTTTAAAACTCGAGAACTTGTTTTGCTAATTTCTCTTAGGCCTTAACCTAGGTGCTAAGCAAGCTCGTAACACCAGTGGTGTTACATTATGTGACCTGACTCAACACACATGCTACATGTTTCAAATGGTCTAAGGTTGTTCTACATGTTTTGTTGACTGTGTTGTGTGTATAATTCTTAAATCAGAAAGCTGGAAATGGGGTGCTGATTTCTTCAGAGATCTATATTTGTTAAACTACATGAGTGCAACATATATCAAACCTCAGGTGAGCTGCATCCCTTCACATTAATTCATTCTAATTATTCACTTCTCTGTTCGTTGCCTCTAAATTAAATGCTTAGACAATTTAACTATAGGTTTCTCTTCTTACTGGAATTGTCATGGGTGGAGGTGCTGGTGTTTCTTTACATGGAAGATTTCGAGTTGCCACTGATAACACGGTATACACTAGAAACCAAAATCAAGTGACATTTTTCTTACGTTGTCACTTTTACTTATCTATTCAAGATAGCCAGTAGTTTTGAAGCACAAAAAGTTGGCGTGTCATGATGCAGCTCGAGATCTGCTTGTTTAAGGTTCTGCTGAATATAAACTTTCAGGCATAGTATTCATCACAAAAAAAGACCCAGGATCACTGCCTTTCACTACCTTTTCTGACGGATATTACGCCTGAATGTTTAATTGTTTATTGGACTAGATTTCAGTTATGGTGCATATATACTTTCCTTTTTGTGAGCTTGATGAGTGATATTAGTTCTTTTACTTATTTGGAATATTGAGAATCTCGCTTTATTTTTATTAGAAAATTGTAGCATTTTCAAGGGCCAAAATATGGGTCATTTACATTTCAAATATTCCTGCAGGTTTTTGCAATGCCAGAAACAGCTCTTGGTTCCCTTCCAGGTGTAGGGGCCACATATTTTCTGTCTCGGCTTCCTGGCTTCTATGGTTATCTAATATTTATCATTGCAATTTATTTAATGTTTCTATGTATTATTAATAGTACGGAATACTATGCATCCTCGGATTATTCTTTAGTTTGCAGTTTTACAAATGATTTTTAGCAAGTGTGCTAGATTTTTGAGGAAATGATCTATGCAATTATGTAAGTAATTATGAAGATATAATTATATAAAGAAATAAAGAGTGGCCAAGTTTCTTGTATTCTATTTGATTTTTGGTTTCATATTTTGTTAATTACTTGTACTTAGTGAGGTCAGCCTTCTAGTTGGTGGTAAAGGTATCTTGAGAGATACTGTTAACTAAAATGTTATCTTAATTTTTTACAGGCGAGTATGTTGCTCTTGCTGGTGCCAGATTGGATGGTGCTGAAATGCTGGCATGTGGTCTGGCTACTCATTTTGTCCAGTCAAATGTAGGTTCACTTGTAATTTAAAATTTCACTGGGCTGCCAATTTTTGCTTCCGGTTATGATGTTTGCTGTTGTATTTATGGTTATTATCCTTTGGAACATGCTACATAAATCCTGACATTATTCATATATAGCATTCGAATGCTTTCAAATTTATAGGCCTGCATCATTGAAGTCATGTATGTCGTATATTAGTCAACAACTCCTAGTAAATACTCTTTGTTAATTTACCAGAGACTACCATTGCTCCAAGAATCCCTCAAAAAGCTGGACACCTCCAATACTTTTGCCGTGTGTAGTACAATCGATCATTTTGCTCAACAGCCATCATTGAAAGAAAATAGTTCCTTGAATAGGTAAGGGTGTTTCTGATTGAATGACTGAAATATGCCCCATTGATAATGTCACTAATTTTTCAATCTCTGGCGCACTCCAGGTTGGAAATAATCAATAAATGCTTTTCTAAAAGCACAGTTGAAGAAATTATATCCACTCTAGTGAGTTTGTTAAAGTAAATATAGGTTTCTATGCGTTCACCTTTTCTGTCTTGACAAATTATTAAATACATATTTATCCTGTCAGGAGCAAGTGGCCTCAAATTTGGCTGATGAATGGGTTGCTAGGACAATCCAGTATTTAAAGAAGGCTTCTCCTACTAGTCTGAAAATCACTCTGAGATCGGTATCCATTAGAAACCACACCCCATATATATAGCTGTGTGCACCAGAATATAGTTGTTTCATTATTTGTTTTGTGCCTTGGAATTCAGATAAGAGAAGGGAGAACACAAACTGTTGGGGAGTGCTTGCATCGGGAATATAGGGTGATTTGCCATCTCATACGTGGTGACTTCAGCCGAGACTTCTATGAGGTAATTAAATATGGACATTATCAACACTGCTATTGTAACAGGCGTGATGGGGGGAGGGGGTGTGGCGGCTATGGAGGTGGCGGCTAGGGCTTAGGGCGTAGGGGAGAGGGGCGGTGCAGGGAGAGGGAGAGAGGAGGCGACGGCAACAGAGGGGAAGGGAGAGGGATAGAGGAAGGAGCAATAGCTCTATTCTTGCTTGATTAGATTGATTACATCCTCCCTATATTTATAGTCCCTATAGGACTTGTATTCCAAGCAACTAAGAGAGATATCCTTATACATTGGATTCTGCTTTCCTAAACAATCCAAACTCTAGTTTTCCTAATTTATTCCTTACTCCTATTTTATGCCTCTAATTTCTTTCGAGCGGCGGGAGGCGCAGAGGTGGCGTTGCTGCCCCTAGGTGCGTGCCCCCTCCTTAGGCCGCAGCCGGCCCGCTTGCTGGTCCGCTGGTTCCGGGCTGGGAGCGTGCTATCGGACATGTTACATCACTCCCCCCCTCTCTGATTAGCGCGTCCTCGCGCCGAAGTTGTATCCAAGTGCTGACGCATTGGTAGGGTAGGGATGTCCTGGGAGGATAGCTTCGATGCCGGTGATGAGTTGACCCTGAATTGGGTCTGCATTGAGGTTGTCGCCGGTGCGTTCTGCGATGAACTCAAGGCGGTAGAGTAAGTTTCCAATGTAGCCGTACAAGAAGTGGGTGTATGGTCTGATCACTCCTCCTGTTGTTTTTGTTATTTGTGGAGCGCCCACGAGCAAGTGGCGCCGGATGGCGGCATCGGCGGTGAAGTCCTGCATCTCTTGTGACGGTTGCATGAAGTCGTTGTAGCAGTTGGCATTGTTGGGGAGGAGGTAGACGTCCACGTGCCGCCAAATAGTGTCGGTGGAATGTGTGGCCCGGTGTTGTCGTCAGGTCCAGCATTTCTCTGAACATGAAGGAGCCCCTGTCAAATTCGTTGGGAGATAGTCATTGCAACTCGGAGTCGGGTCGGAGGGCGATGAAGACATTGTCAGCACGGAATGTCTGTCATCCCAGGTTGTTGAGGAAGATGACCATAGTAGATGGTACTATGCCCTGCGGCCAGGGGCGTCCCAACAAGATGCCCATGGGAGTGGCATTCTAGTGGGGGTGCCATTGGTGGTGGGTGGCAGCCGAGAGCTAGGTACCTTATATTTTCTGGATAACCTCGTAGCCCAGCTTCAAGCAGGTCTGGAAGTAGTGGTGATGCCGCCAGGATGTAGAGGTGTGCATCAAAGAAGAGCAGGCTTTGGTCAATGGACCAAGCTGGTGCATCCGTCCCGTCGGTGATGGTGAGCGCGATGTGCCGTAGCTCACGTTGTTGCAGTATAGCTCGGCCAAGATTGTTGAAGACGGGCATGTTGGTGTTGATGTAGTCAAGGGCGGTGGGGCATCGAGACCGGCTTGCCCGGTACATGATGTCGCGAGGCGGTGATGATGCTGTCGTGGGGTGTAGAGAAGCCGTCCACTCCTGGAGCGTCCTAGTGGTGGCCGGTGGTGCTGGGAGGGCGAGGATGACCTCGAGGGTGCGCCGGGGCTACACGTATGGCGTTGAAATAGATGGATCGTCCATTGCGGAAGTAGTGTAGCTCCGTGGTGGAGAAGTCCCAAGTGAAGCACCCAAGGTCCGCCAGCCAGGGCGTGCCGAGGATGACGTCGATGTTGTTGCCGATCTAAAAGGGGAAGGTGCCAATTTGGAAGCTCTCCGTGTCAATGCAGAGGGGTATGGAGAAGGCCGCTGCTCGACACGAGACGTCGTTGCCGCTGCCCAAAAGGATGGTGGTGTGGATGCGTTGCTCGAGGAGGCCTATAGCTTGGACGACATTGATGTCGATGACATTATGCGTGGCTCCTATGTCGACCAAGATGTGGACGCCGGTGCCCAAGATTGCTCCTGCAAGATACATTGGAGCGGAGCCACGAACCACTGATTGGGTGGTGTTGATCATCATGAGTAAGCTATTGGTGGAGTCCGCAGTGTCATAGTCATTGATGCCGATAATTTCGAAGAGGTTCTTGTACTAGTGGTCGCATGTAAACGGGTCGTCGCAGGTGAAGCAGAGTCCTGAGCGGCGTCATTCCATCACCTCCGCTAAGGTGAGGCGCTTGAGGGGTCATTGAAGATCCGTCGCTGGTGTACCTGGTGTTGTTGTTGGGGATGCTGCCGGGGTCGTCACATCCGAAGGTAGGTTTGAATTGACTACCGCTTCAGAGGTGTTGGTGCGGTTGAAGAGGTGGCTGAACTCCTTCCTCCACTCACTGGTGATGTCGCGGTACATGTTTGGGCGGGGCGGCTTGCTATTGCTGGAGCGAGTATCGTTGTCGGCGAGCTTGGTGGTGGCGAAGATGGATGTGGGGGCGCTGCGTGGTGTCAAGGGCGACGAAGGTGCAATGGCGCCATGCCGCGATGTACTACTGCTGCAGTCCGTGATGGTGGAGGCTCCAATATTGGTCATCGGATCATAGTTGTTGTTGACGATGTAGAACCCGTTGTCCTGAAGGAAGACTCGATTGCTAGGGTTGTTCTTGCCGGAGTTCTCCATAGTTGTGGTTGGGATCGTTCTGGTCTTTGGATACTAGGTGTAACAGGCGTGATGGGGGGAGGGGGTGGCGGCGGCTATGGAGGTGGCGGCTAGGGCTTAGGGCGTGGGGGAGAGGGGCGGGCGCATGGAGAGGGAGAGAGGAGGCGGCGACAATAGAGGGGATGGGAGAGGGATAGAGGAAGGAGCAATAGCTCTTTTCTTGCTTGATTAGATTGATTATATCCTCCCTATATTTATAGTCCCTATAGGACTTGTATTCCAAGAAACTAAGAGAGATATCCTTATAGATTGGATTCTCCTTTCCTGAACAATCCAAACTCTAGTTTTCCTAATTTATTCCTTACTCCTATTTTATGCCTCTAATTTCTTTCGAGCGGCGGGAGGCGCAGAGGTGGCGTTGCTGCCCCTAGGTGCGTGCCCCCTCCTTAGGCCGCAGCCGGCCCGCTTGCTGGTCCGCTGGTTCCGGGCTGGGAGCGTGCTATCGGACATGTTACATCACTCCCCCCCTCTCTGATTAGCGCGTCCTCGCGCCGAAGTTGTATCCAAGTGCTGACGCATTGGTAGGGTAGGGATGTCCTGGGAGGATAGCTTCGATGCCGGTGATGAGTTGACCCTGAATTGGGTCTGCATTGAGGTTGTCGCCGGTGCGTTCTGCGATGAACTCAAGGCGGTAGAGTAAGTTTCCAATGTAGCCGTACAAGAAGTGGGTGTATGGTCTGATCACTCCTCCTGTTGTTTTTGTTATTTGTGGAGCGCCCACGAGCAAGTGGCGCCGGATGGCGGCATCGGCGGTGAAGTCCTGCATCTCTTGTGACGGTTGCATGAAGTCGTTGTAGCAGTTGGCATTGTTGGGGAGGAGGTAGACGTCCACGTGCCGCCAAATAGTGTCGGTGGAATGTGTGGCCGGTGTTGTCGTCAGGTCCAGCATTTCTCTGAACATGAAGGAGCCCCTGTCAAATTCGTTGGGAGATAGTCATTGCAACTCGGAGTCGGGTCGGAGGGCGATGAAGACATTGTCAGCACGGAATGTCTGTCATCCCAGGTTGTTGAGGAAGATGACCGTAGTAGATGGTACTATGCCCTGCGGCCAGGGGCGTCCCAACAAGATGCCCATGGGAGTGGCATTCTAGTGGGGGTGCCATTGGTGGTGGGTGGCAGCCGAGAGCTAGGTACCTTATATTTTCTGGATAACCTCGTAGCCCAGCTTCAAGCAGGTCTGGAAGTAGTGGTGATGCCGCCAGGATGTAGAGGTGTGCATCAAAGAAGAGCAGGCTTCGGTCAATGGACCAAGCTGGTGCATCCGTCCCGTCGGTGATGGTGAGCGCGATGTGCCGTAGCTCACGTTGTTGCAGTATAGCTCGGCCAAGATTGTTGAAGACGGGCATGTTGGTGTTGATGTAGTCAAGGGCGGTGGGGCATCGAGACCGGCTTGCCCGGTACATGATGTCGCGAGGCGGTGATGATGCTGTCGTGGGGTGTAGAGAAGCCGTCCACTCCTGGAGCGTCCTAGTGGTGGCCGGTGGTGCTGGGAGGGCGAGGATGACCTCGAGGGTGCGCCGGGGCTACACGTATGGCGTTGAAATAGATGGATCGTCCATTGCGGAAGTAGTGTAGCTCCGTGGTGGAGAAGTCCCAAGTGAAGCACCCAAGGTCCGCCAGCCAGGGCGTGCCGAGGATGACGTCGATGTTGTTGCCGATCTAAAAGGGGAAGGTGCCAATTTGGAAGCTCTCCGTGTCAATGCAGAGGGGTATGGAGAAGGCCGCTGCTCGACACGAGACGTCGTTGCCGCTGCCCAAAAGGATGGTGGTGTGGATGCGTTGCTCGAGGAGGCCTATAGCTTGGGCGACGTTGATGTCGATGACATTATGCGTGGCTCCTATGTCGACCAAGATGTGGACGCCGGTGCCCAAGATTGCTCCTGCAAGATACATTGGAGCGGAGCCACGAACCACTGATTGGGTGGTGTTGATCATCATGAGTAAGCTATTGGTGGAGTCCGCAGTGTCATAGTCATTGATGCCGATAATTTCGAAGAGGTTCTTGTACTAGTGGTCGCATGTAAACGGGTCGTCGCAGGTGAAGCAGAGTCCTGAGCGGCGTCATTCCATCACCTCCGCTAAGGTGAGGCGCTTGAGGGGTAATTGAAGATCCGTCGCTGGTGTACCTGGTGTTGTTGTTGGGGATGCTGCCGGGGTCATCACATCCGAAGGTAGGTTTGAATTGACTACCGCTTCAGAGGTGTTGGTGCGGTTGAAGAGGTGGCTGAACTCCTTCCTCCACTCACTGGTGATGTCGCGGTACATGTTTGGGCGGGGCGGCTTGCTATTGCTGGAGCGAGTATCGTTGTCGGCGAGCTTGGTGGTGGCGAAGATGGATGTGGGGGCGCTGCGTGGTGTCAAGGGCGACGAAGGTGCAATGGCGCCATGCCGCGATGTACTACTGCTGCAGTCCGTGATGGTGGAGGCTCCAATATTGGTCATCGGATCATAGTTGTTGTTGACGATGTAGAACCCGTTGTCCTGAAGGAAGACTCGATTGCTAGGGTTGTTCTTGCCGGAGTTCTCCATAGTTGTGGTTGGGATCGTTCTGGTCTTTGGATACTAGGTGTAACAGGCGTGATGGGGGGAGGGGGTGGCGGCGGCTATGGAGGTGGCGGCTAGGGCTTAGGGCGTGGGGGAGAGGGGCGGGCGCATGGAGAGGGAGAGAGGAGGCGGCGACAATAGAGGGGATGGGAGAGGGATAGAGGAAGGAGCAATAGCTCTTTTCTTGCTTGATTAGATTGATTATATCCTCCCTATATTTATAGTCCCTATAGGACTTGTATTCCAAGAAACTAAGAGAGATATCCTTATAGATTGGATTCTCCTTTCCTGAACAATCCAAACTCTAGTTTTCCTAATTTATTCCTTACTCCTATTTTATGCCTCTAATTTCTTTCGGGCGGCGGGAGGCACAGAGGGGGCATCGCTGCCCCTAGGCGCGTGCCCCATCCTTGGGCTGCGGCCGGCCTGCTTGCTAGCCCGCTGGTTCCGGGCTGGGAGCATGCTATTGGACGTGTTACAGCTATGTATACTTCATTGCCATTGCACAGAAATATCTCTGTACCTAACATTCAATTCCCATTGCAGGGATGCAGGGCTATACTATTAGATAAAGATCGAAGACCAAAGGTTCATATAATTTCATATTTAGCACATTTGCATCAAATTTTGTTGCTGAGAGCTTATATTATCTGTTACAACCTTTAGAAAATGGTGATTCTTTATTTGGGACTTGCAGTGGATGCCTCCAAATTTGGAACAAGTACATGAGGAGGTAGTTGAAGAATATTTCTCAAGAATTGATGATCCACAGTGGGAAGATTTGAACCTACCCGACAGACGTTCTCATGGAAGAATTATTGAGTCCAAGATTTGATGGGAGTCTTTGGTGATGAGTTTAATGGAGCCTCGGTTGTGGTCAGAATAACAAATCATCTCATCTTTGAAGAGTCTGTGTAGACTGAAGACTACTGTTAAAATAAAACTGAATATGCTGTATAGGTCAACTTATATATTTGTTATTTAATTTGTATGGCTAGACTATCAGCCAACTCATCTCGTTTGGCCACTCGAGCATGCTCATTTTGCTCACGATCCATGGTAATACACTACTAGAGGATAGGCTATCACTGTCGGTTCTTCAATTGAAATTGACAGTTTTAGGTATCTACTGCCGGTTCCAGAAATACCAAGACAAGTAATGATTGGGAACCTCTTGAACCAGCACTAAATATGTTTATCACTACTAGTTTTACCTACTAACCGGTAGCGTTATAGCACTGCCAGTTCCAATAATAAAACATACTTAAAAATTAAAATACTGCTGCAGGTTTGTTGCACAACCAGGCTAGTAGTAAAGTTCATTTCAGCCCTCATAATGAATTCGAACCATTAACAGCCCGCATAACCTGCCTCACCATCAAATATCCGATCAGATTGATGGTTGAGATCACCAACCAATGAATACGTAAATCAATCATCACCCTCTCCTCACTGTTGGCCACCCCTGACTCGGGCATTTAACTATTTATCATCCTTTCAGGTGGCCACTAAATACGCATAGATTCAATGTTCTCCTACTAAATTTAACCTAGGACCTTCAAATTTTTGTCTAGTTTGTTTCATAAATGTGCCTCCACCACCATGCAATAGAGATGAAATAAAAAAACCTAATTAATCAAATAGTCTACCAATAAACCTTCAAAAATATGCTAGGAATAACATTTACTTACATTCACTACCCTAGTTCTCTCACTGTCGGTTCAAAACCCCCCTTCACTGCTGGATTTTGAACCGACAGTAGTATATCGGTAGTGATGGGGGTTCACATCACTGCTGGCTACTACAAACCAATAGTGATATAAAATGTCACTGTCAGTCCCTGGCGCCACCCGACAGTATCCAGTTGAGCCAACACTGCCGGTTTGTGGCTCAAGCCGGTAGTGTTATCTTGACCAACACTGCCGGTATGTGGCTCAAGCCAGCTGTGTTGTCTTGTCCAACACTGCTGGTTCAAGGCTCAAGCCGGCAGTGTTCTCTTTTCCATCGTTGTTGGTTTGTGGCTCAAGCCGGCAGTGATGTCTGCAACAACACTGCCGGTTAGTATATCAAGCCAGCAGTGATGTCTTGCACAACACTGCCGGTTTGTAGCTGAAGCCGGCAGTGCTCTCTTTACCATCACTGCCGATTTTGGGCTAACCGGCAATGATCTCTTTTTCGCATTTTATTATTTTATAATTGTTTTTGTGGAATCGGGTTTTGCTTTATATTTGCTACGTAGACCGATAAATCCATCAACATTAAACATTATAAATGTTACGGTTACGGTTCAAATGTACTTATCAAGATCTCAAAATTACAATATTCTCTCGAAATTACAATAGTCTAGCGAGCCGCTCTGGTCCATACTGTGCCTTAAACTTCTTGGACTGTGCAATGGAGAATGTTCCTTTTCCCACATTTCTACTAGTTCATCAATCACTGGTTCCAGAAACATATCGATATCATTCCCAGGTTGTCTTGGCCGTTGGATCAGTAGTGGTATCTGGATGTACGACCGCTCCATACAAAGCCAAGGTGGAAGGTTGTATATATAGAGCGTCACTGGTTAGTTGCTATGATTGCTTCTAACTTGGTCGAAAGGATTCATCCCATCTGTGCTCAAACCAAATCAAAGGTGCCTTACCTCTCCACCGATGTTCTTATAGCACATAGTATTGACAGTCCTCCCGTCCTTCCCATCGGCGGAGTGCCTCATCATTGTATCTTTCTTATGCTCTTCGTCATGCCAATGTAACAGCTTGGCTGACTTTGTAGTTGTAAATAACCTATGCACCCGGGAAGCTATAAGGAAATACCAAATGAACTTTACGGGCCATCCTTTAGTCTTGGTACCCTCATTAGATGGCCCTTCCTTGTACCATGGAGATTTACACTTGGGGCACGCATCTAAGTCTTTGTATTTGTTTCCACGGTACAATATGCAATTATTAGAACACGTGTGGATTTTTTGAACCTCGAGGCCGATGGGACAGATCATTTGCTTGGCTAGGTATGTCTTTTGAACCTCGGGGCACTGTGCGAACTCATAACAGAGCCAGGAGATGAGAACTCCAAAAGTGCGAGCCCCTTGCTCGCCAAGCTCACGCCCAAGGAAGGCCTCCACTCGTGCTCTCCAGCCTTCTGACATGCACTGCCCGATGACTGGGTTGTCGTGAATCCTCAGGCCTAGCATCTTCTGACAGTCCTGGAGCGTGACTCATACTGCTCGTGGTTAGTAACAAATGGGGTTCCTCTCCCACGCCTCATTCTTCCGGGTATCTGATCCATAACCATCCTGTGCCTCGTCCTCTTCCTTGATCCTTGCTTGTTCCAACGGTAAGCTGGATCCACAATGTACTTTGGCCCATCATATGGAGGCCACTGTCCAGGGTCCCAGAAAGGCACTAAGCGGGGGCTCCATGTGTGCACAAGCGTGTCGACACTGAACTCATGAGGTATCCTGCTCTCGATATTATAGTTGCGATGCCTAGCTGCTGCCACCAAATGGGAACATAGAAAGTGGTACTACCTTGGTTTACCACAAGTGCATTTGAAATCTTAGAGGACAACCACATGCATCCTCGACTCTCGAACCTCGCCGTCGGACGTTGTACCGCCCCTATGCTCGACCTGATAAGTCCCTGTAGCGTGGTCAAAGCATGTAACCTCATGTGTGCCAGCCCTTTCATTTGCCTTCTCTAGGTGTGCCTTTGGTTTCGGAGCCCATATCTCTCCATCACTCCGCAACTTGAATGCATGGGCGTGTCTATCGTTGAACCAGGCAACAAGCTTATAGAAGGTGAATTGAACGATTGCATTGACGGGCATACCACGTATCCCCAATAGCAACTTATTGAATGACTCTGCCATGTTGATGCACTAAAACTCGTACCTCCATCCACCGGTGTTGTGAGCTCTCATCCATTTCTCCAAATCCCTCATCAAACCTATGAGCCATTGTCTACCTTCTACATTTGATGTGGTTCTGACTTGCTCCAACTTTTTCTAAAAGTACTTGTCCTCAAGCTGTCGAGCAGCCTCCTGGAACAGATCAAAGTTACCCTTCACACCATCCTTTCAGAGTAGATTCTCGGCAAGGTGCCGAGTACACCAACGATGGTGCAAAGGTGCATACCCCTCTATCTGCTCTCACATGGCATTAAGTATGCCCTGGTGCCTATCAGATATGACGCCAACCTCCCTGCCGGGGCCCAACCACGTGTATCCGGACTAGCCTCAAGAACCATCCCCAATTGTCATTGTTCTCCTTCTCAACCAAAGCAAATGCCAAAGGAACCAACTTATTGTTCGCGTCACAGGATATGACTATAAGAAGTGTGCCCTGGTATTTGCCAATCAAGAACGTACCATCAATAGAGAAGACGGGATAACAATGCCTAAAGGCCTCGACACACTGAGTGAAGCACCAGAAAGCATGGAAGAATATCTGCCTCCCATCCTTCCATGCATTTGGTTTTGGGATGTACTCATAATGCATGCCTGGATTCACTGCTTTGATTGCATTGAAAAGTACTGACAGCTGCTTGTACCCATCCTCCCAATCCCCATATATCATCTTCCACGCTCGCTGCTTAGCCCTCCAAGCTTTACCATAAGTTATCACATAACCTCCATACAACGCCTCAATGGTCCTGATAATTGTCCTCACCTTCATGTTGGGTTCTCCCTGCAATATTCCCATCAACCGCTTGGCAATGAGGGTAGATGTCAACTGTTGATGCCTCAGTGTCAGCTCATGGTCAACACAATTGTGTGGCCCGATAACTTTTGTGATCTTCCACTTTCTGGTGACCTTTTGCTTCCTTGCACAAACCCTCCATGGGCAGCGTTTCTTGTCACACACAACTACGTAACGGCGCTCCGCATATGAATGCAAGACCTTGTAAGGTCTCTTTTGTATCACTGCAAATGCCTGCAACCATCTCTTCAATGCAGGGAGGTCCTTAAACACCCTCCCACTCTCAATTACCATGTTAGGGCTGGCCTCAGGAGCTTCTAGGAGCTCATCATCACGTCCTTCTGCACACGCCAGATCGAAATGAGCAAGATCGCTAAACTCGTGAACTCTTGGATCACAGCAGCCAGGAAAGATACGCCTCAGCATCTCAACATCACTCTCTGTCAGCTCTCCAACAGGACGATCATCATCAGAATCAAGAGCCCTTGCCATCTCATATGGCTCCGAATCATTCATAATTTCAACACTATTGGAGACACAAAATCCATCTCCACAGTGCACTTGCGCAGCAACAGGGGGCACATCAACATTCTCAGGAATATCTCCTTCAACATAAGCAGAGAAATGAGGAAAGAATGAAAGAAATGGATGTAAGGAAGGGGGTAAGCTCCCAATAACTATGCGGTTAAGACACTTACTCGGATGATTCTATGTCAAAGGGGTCTCATGAGGAGGATCTGCCACAACAACATGAGTTTGACAAGCATCTCCAACTACCGCATTGGGGGCAAATTGAGCATCGGGAACCGTAGGTGCAACCTCCACATCCATATCAGCTTCCAGGACGGGAGGGTCGATGTGTGCCTGCTGACCCATTGGTGGGAAAAACCCATGAGGGATGGGATCAACTAACACCTGACGCACAACCATGTCCAAACATTGCAGCTGGCTCTTCATAGCCGATCTCACATAGTTCTCCCACTGATCCGCACAACCAATTGGGATCATTCGCCTGAGGATGTTGGGAGGAGAACTTAGGTGCAATACACCCTCAACTGCAATGCCATCATCTCCAAGGCAATGTAGATCCTGCCGAGCCCTTGCAACCATCTCACTAAATGAAGGCCTATCATTGA